TGTTGCGCACCCCTCGTGGGAGAAGAGACTTCACACACCCCTCCATCCCCAGGCCTGATTGGCAGGGGAGCAGCAGGGTATTCGCAGGTCACATCAACCCACTTGGCGGGTGGGATCTGGCCCACAGAGGCTCTCTTGCCCATCCTGACCTAGAAATTCAGTGTGTGTGGGTTTCAGTCATGAAGAAGAATCATGAAAATGCACTGTTCTTGATGGCTAACCAGTTTTTTGTACTTAATGTCAGAGAATGGATCTCAAGAGTGAGCTGGAATTTACACTGTTAAGGTATAGTTAAAAAGAAGAGGTGGCTGAAATGCATCACAATCAAAGCAAAATGTTTTACTGCATTAACTTTGAACTTTAAATGCCATTTAATTTTATTTAAAAAACGTAAGTCCATATTTACTTAGGGATGTAAGCGACAGTTGACTACCCAATAAGCATATGCTTTTGGGGTATTCGAGTAAAGACTCGACTAGTTGCTTCCCTCTTCCCCCTTGCTGCCTCTGTCAGAGAGGGGCAGCAAGAGCCAATACTGGGTGGAGCCAGCTTAAAAGCTGGTTCCCCCAAACCGTCTCTGCAAGGAGGCAGAGGCCTAGCGGAGGGGACCGGGTGTGAGCCGAGAATCAGCTATTCCGGCTTGCAGCTGGTTCCAGACACTGCACCTCTGCTTTTTAAATTGAGACAAATGATACCTTAGATTTAAGCCTTCTAGATAGTTTATATCTGCGATCAACTGGTCAATTTTTGGGGCACGACCAGTCAATTGCGAGGTGTTCCAGACCTCCTCTATTTTTCCCCCATCCCCAAGAAGGAGCCCGTGCTAGCACTACCTTCTGGGAAAATGGAGGTAACACCAGCTTCCTGCGGGGGTAGAAATGGGGGGTGTTTACAGCTGCACGCCAGATGCGGAATCTCACCAAGCATGTGTGCTGCTCCTCCCCTCCCCAAAACAGCCAGCGTACTTCCAAAAAGCTGGATCTGGTGCACAGCTGGGGACTTCCTTCCCCGTGCTGCCTGCCTTCCTTCCTTCCTGTGCTGGGAGGTGGGGGGAGGAGAAGTCCCTGGCTACACACCAGCTCTAATTTCTCTGGAAGTGCTCCGGCTATTTTGGGGAGGGGAGGAGCAGCACACATGCTTCCTGAGAAGTCTGAGCTGGTGTGCAGCCACGGGACACCCCACCATGCAGGAAGGTAGGCAGACAGCTTGGGGAAGGAAGTCCCCGGCTGTGCGCCAGATACGACTTCTTAGGAAGCATGCTGGCTGTTTTGGGGAGGGGAGGGAGGAGCAGCATGCACTGCGGGATCCCCGGGTACTGGTCAAGCTGTCCCTGTTCCCACTCCCTGGCCAAACTCCCCAACAGCACCCTGGCCCCTGCTCAGACTCCCACGAAGTACTTTGCCCTGGCCCCCACAAGCAACTTACTCCCTGCCCAGGGCCCCACCAGCACCCTGCCCCTGGCCAGACTCCCAACAGCATCTTGCTCTTGCCCTGGCCCCCACTAGCAGCCTTCCCCCTGCCCAAAGCCCCACCAGCACCTTGCTCTTGCCCTGGCCCCCACCAGCAGCCTTCCCTCTGCCCAAAGCCCCACCAGCACCCTGCCCCCTCCCTCCTGGCCAGACACCTACCCCCAACTTGCTCCTGTACCCTGTTTTCCAACCAGATTCTGCACCCCATTCCCTATCGCACTCACTGGCAGCCCTGTCCTGCACACTGGCTCCCTCATTTTTGGCCCCACCTCAGAGTGTGCAGAGGCCCACAAATTCCACTAACCCTGGAACCCCAGAAGAGTTAATCTGGCCTGAACCTCAATCCTACCTACCCTCCCCCCCATGGGGCTGGAGTGCCAGAGGAATGAGGTGTCTCAGTTGGTACCACATCAGTGAGGCTTGGGGGGGTTTGGAGGGGTTGTTTTTTTGCATCTGACTTGTGTGGTCCCTGACTGATTTTTCTGAGGGTCAGTGACCTTTGACCCCAAACAGATTCCCTGCGCCTCTCATAAATAAAGACAATGCTGAAACATTGTGGCTACGTCTAGACTGGCGCGATTTTCCGCAAATGCTTTTAACGGAAAAACTTGCCAGTCTAGATGCAGCCTGTATGTTTGACATAATATTGTATTTAAAAATGAAGCTGGCCAACAAGCTCCCAATTGGGGCCAAGCCCCCATCTGCTCACAGTATCATAATACTCATGCACCCCCTTTTAGACCCCAACCCTGAGCCCATCATACACCTGAACCCCCTGTCCTGAGCTTCTCACACCCCCAAATCCTGCCCCCTCACACCCCCGGTCTTCTGCCACAACACTCCTGCACCATCCACACACCACAAATCTGTGTCCTGAACCCATCATACTCCCAACCTCCCTGCCCTGAGCCCCTCACTGCCCCCTCACATCCACAAGCCTGTGGCTTGCTTAGTACCCCAACCCTCTATCTGACCCCAACACTCCCCAGCCTGGTGCTCCCTCTCCGAGCCAGCATCCCCTTCTCCACCTTGTCCTGCACCCAAATTCCCTCCCAGAGCTTGCACACCTCACCCCTTCCCACACCCAAATCCCTCATTCCCACCTCAGAGCCCGCACTTCCTGTCTCAACCCAGTGAGAGTGAGTAAGGGCTGGGGACAGCTAATGATGGAGAGGAGGTAAACAGAGAGGCCAGGGACTCAAGGAAGGGGCGGGGTCTTGGGGAAGGGAAGGGTAGATCTTGGCTTGCCTTGACATTTAGAAAGTGATCTTGGGTGTAAAAAGGTTGGAGACTACTGGTTTATATTGTCAAATAAAAGGCCCAGACTAATGCATTTCAGGCATTAGAAAAACTGGGGAAATATGGATCAATCCTTTAATTCGCATATAACCAATGTGTGTGGGTGGGAGTGCATTTCTCTATAATTATTAGCTATGTTAAATTAAATTTAATCAGCTAATCGAGTAGTCAATGGAATTTCTATCAACTACTCAATTAGTCAATACAGAGGGAAACTGCAGAGCCACAGCAGGGTTAACTCCTGGCCCAGGTGCTAACCCTGCTGCAGCTCTGCTTTTAAAATGTATTAAGAGCCACCAATGTCTGGGACCGGGTGCAAGCCAGGAATCAGCTGATAATTATAGAGAAACGCACTCCCACCCACACCTTTTGGATATATGCAAATTAAAGGATTGATCCATATTTCCCCAGTTTCTTTAATGCCTGAAATGCAGCATGTGATTTGACTATATAAACTGTCTAGAAGGCTTAAATCTAAGGTATAATTTGTAGCTTTTACCTTCCCTGGGCTGTGTCTACACTGGCCGCCTATTACGAAATAGGCATGCTAATGTAGAACTTGGGAAGAGGCAAATGCGCGGGGGATTTAAATATCTCCCGCGGCATTTGCATTTTCATGGCCGCCGCTTTTTTCCGGCTTGGAGATAAGCCAGAGAAAAGCGTCCAGACTAGCGCGATCCTCCGGAATAAAGCCCTATTCCGGAGGATCTCTTATTGCAAGTAGGAATAAGAGCTCCTCCGGAATAGGGCTTTATTCCGGAGGATCGCGCCAGTCTGGACGCTTTTCTCCGGCTTATCTCCAAGCCCGAAAAAAGCGGCGGGGATGTAAATGCAAATGCCGCGGGGGGTATTTAAATCCCCCGGGGCATTTCCTATTCCG